TATCCAGCTCACCGACATATAGCCATGGCATCTTGATAATTTTGGATCATGTGCCGCGCTCTTCCAGTGAATGTGGAAGGTAATATAACACGTTTTCCTTGAGCTCTTGGATCCGTTTCACGTCTTAATAGTGCATCAGAAAGACCCCTATACATTTCACATCGCAGTTCTGTTTGATGGGTTCTCACAAATCTTAATGTGTCGGCCTCAACCATTGTGTATGTGTCAACGACAAATTGTTGAAATAGTTTCTTGGAGAATAGAATACTAGGGGATTCTTGATCCCTCTCGTGTAGTCTAAAAGCAAAATATTCTCTAACACTCATATATTTTCTTCCTGATGATGTTGAGGCCTCAGTAGTAGCAAAAGGGATATCATCTCGATAACCGTCCTCACCATAAGGAAAAAGTAAAGGATATTGTAAAGGGAGATAAGCTGGATGCAGTTCATTTATGCGTTGCAAAGACCCAGAATGGGATTGTAGTATTATATCCCTGTTCCCTAATGTTTTGTCGAAGTCACTAACAACTAATGCAGCTACTTCAGATGTTGAAGGAAGATTATATGTCCTAGCGTCAGCACCCCTTCTACTAATTAGTCTTAACTAACATTCAGACTTCCTTCGGCTACTTTTTGACCCACCATTCTAAAACTTTTCACCAAAACATTGTTATCGTCTAACATTTTTTTTTCAATTCAGAAACAAAGCCTTCATGTAAAGTGTCAACGTTTGCTTCATTCCTATATCAAATAGAGAAAATTGTTATTATTATTGTTATTGTGAATTACTAATGTTTACAAATTCATTATTACAATGATTGTAAAAAGATTAGTCTATTTGTGTGCCCACACCTGACAGACTTTATCCGATTCATCACTTCATTTGATGTATCATAAATATATAGTTGTGCAAATTTTGGCACTTCATTTTCCTCTGGCAAATGACTACCAATCAAGTCATAGTTCTGGCCATGTCACTTGAAAACTGACGGAAAGGTACCCACATTGTGACTGACATCAATTTTCCCTCCCATTGATGTGAACGAAAACATACTATTATATGAGCGTATGTTTTTTAAGAAATGTCTACTTTTTTCAGTATCACCGTATAACAAATCAAGAAGAACTTGAGGACTTTTCATGGGAGGGAGTTTTATTTTACCTTGCAAGCAACACCCCGAATATTTTTTATTCTTAGATTTGCGGTCTGGTCTCAATCTCTCTGTTGGAAAAATGTGTTAAAAAAATTGCATTAAATGGTCAATTTGGGGCAATTATTTGAGTGGGGTCCACTTCCGATTTGGGTCGGGTGAAAGTGGTTTCGGATTGTCCTTGTTAAGGGCTACAATTCGATATATGGTACGCTCAAAACGGATAACGGGTGAATGAGAAATTGATTCTCGAAGTTCGCTCGTTGAAATGGAAAAACTGGGAAAATGATGAGTTTCTAGTGTGTTTTATCCCACACCGAAAAACTCAAGGGATTTTCACCCCCTTATAAAGGGAAGCCTCTTTTAAGGAGTTAAGATTCCTAAAGGGAAAGGCTCTCTCTTACGCGCAGGGGGGGGGTGCCGATCAAATCCCGAAACGGAGAAGAAAAACCGCGACTCGTGTGCGCGGGCGACCTGCGGACACTAATGCCGTCCAAAAATCCATCTCTCAAGAGATACGGTTAATTTTCGTTTTCTTCCCGAACGTTTAATTTTTTCCCAGAAGTGCTCCGAGGGGAGTTCTGTTGGCTTCGGACAGAACCCCTCCAAGGGGTGTTCTGTTGGGGTCTTCTGCCGCACACTTCTTCCGTTACAACAATTAATGCCCAACGTTCTTATCTTTTAATGCTGCGTTAAATGGACAGTTTATGGACGATTCAATGCCCAACGGACTGGTCATTGATGTCCAACGTTCAGGTCCATTAACACCCCATTTAACACACAATCAATCCTCCTATAAATAGCTGGCAGGTGCTTTGCAACAAACACACGGTTTGATAACGCACAACACTTTCCTCACGTTTTCTTGAGCTTAAAACTCTTCCAGCTACTCCCAAAAATCCTTCTGTGTTCATACTTGGTTCTCGTTCGCTGGAACTCCTGTTTGTGTGCTCAAACATTACTTCGTAGTCATCGTATCCTGGGAAACGATTGTTGCAACGCTCCTAGCACCGTGGGAGGCAACAAATACGTTTTAAGGAAATCGTGCGTAGCACGAGCTTTGGCTAATTCTGCTTCATCTCCTTTCTTGTTTTTCTCCAGTCATTTTATTTAATTAATTTATTTTAATTATTTTTCTTTATTTTCCGAAACACACCCAACACTCTCTTCATACCAAAATGATGTCCCACAAAAGTTGCAATTATATGTGGGATCTTGTATATCCCAATATTTAATATCTGTATAATATTTAAGTATGGTAAATAAGTGATACATGAAGGTACACACATGAAAGGACTATATGATAAAATTTTACATGGCTGAAGAGTAGAAGTAGAACAATGGGAGCTTAAAGAGTCAAATATGTGCGAAGTAGCAATGTTCCCAACATGTAGTGTGAATGGTGGTATCTTTGTCAGTTTAGTTATTCTATCAACCATTCTTGATGTACACACTCTTGTACACACCTTATACACACCATGTTTGTGAAGCTTTTTTTTGTTTGTGAATCCGGTTCACAGACAATATTTTGTTTGTGCAAAACATTGTCTGTGAATCGATGTTCACAGACAAAAAAAAAGCTTTCACAGACATAGATGTGTACAAAAGTGTGTATAAGAGTGTGTACAAACATCATTTTTGTTATTCTATTGGGTGATGAATGTCTGGCATGTTTTTTTTAGGTTCATCTTCACCTTCAATGTTGTAGAAAAAATAGATATCTTAAAAAATTGAGCATGATATGCACAAATCTAATACGAAGTACTATCTAATGCAAACAAAAATTCTTTTCGAACATATATTTGAAATTAGTGTGGATATATATTTGCATTTGCATGAATTTATTTATTAATTTGTGTGTTCATATATTAATATATATTTTAGATTTTAGATTATATTTTAATAATTTTTTTCATTCATTACGTAAAGGATTTGTTGAATGCTCTATATTTTGCAAAGAATGTTTTTATCGTTCGGCTTCTTTTGAAATTTAAAATTCTTAGAAGTTTTCTTTTGGTCTGTTTCAGTCTCAGACCAGACCAGATCAGACCAAACCAGATCAGACCAAACCAGATCAGACCAAACTAGACATCCTTAATTACAAAATACACAGAGATTGAACATTTACCAGACCAAACCAAAATAGAACAATTCATACCAGATAAACTTCGGTTAAAAAACATCCTTAGTAATTTTCTGGGACACTTTTATTCTTCTTAGTCCCACTCCCACTTGACTGTCTCTCCTTCATGACATTTATAGAGGCAAATGGAAGGTTGTTTAAGGTTGTTTTTAGCAGATCAAATCTTGGAATACGTCCTTGATTAGTTTGGAATTTAGGGTGTGTTTGGATCTTATTTTTAAAACTACTTCTGCTCCCTAAGGGAGCAGAAACAGAAGTTGTAGTGTTTTTGTAAAAGTGCAGAAATGATTCTAGTGCACTAATTTAGTTCTAGAATCAGTTTTTTTAGAAGCTGGAGAAGACTAACTTCTGAAAACTTATTCTGATTGTGCTTCTACTTTAAAAAAGAAGCAGAAGCAGAATCAATTCCAAACACTCCTTTAATTTGGGCAATCTAATTTTATACTACCTCCGTCCCGTTGGAAGGTTCTCATAACAAAACAGCACGGTTATTTAAGTGATAATTAAATAAAGTATTTCGGGTATATTTTTAGATATAATTGTAATAGGTATATTATAATGTGTTAGTATTGTTAATTGTGATGTTATAAATGTATTATTTTTAATATTTAATGACTAATTTGTCACTTAAGATATTAAATGTATTTGTTGGTCCAAAATAGGACGCTCGTAGGCTTTTAGGAAAGCTACGTACGACACTCAAGCAAGAATTAGGAAAGTACGAATATGGAAAGTTAGCCAGAAATAGCATATCTGTATTTGTAATTCGAATTGCCTTTTATAGGCGATTACAAATGGTAACTGCCGAACATAATAATGACTAAATTAATTACAACATTAATACGGAATTTAAACACATAATTAAGTAGCGCATTGATTGTTGGCCGTTACTCTTCCTGGCTGGCAGGTCAGCCTGGTTGGCAGGCTGGACGCTTGAGCTCCCTCCTGCTGGACTGGACGGTGGGCTTCCCGCTAGGCTGGGGCTTCCCGCTAGGCTGGAGGAAGGCTTCTGACCGGGCTAGAGGCAGGCTCCCGGGTAGGCTGAAAGGCAGGCTCCCCGTTGGGCTGGAGGTAGGCTCCCACCTGGGCTGGACCGCAGGCTCCCAGCTGGGCTGGACCGCAGGCTCCCAGCTGGGCTGGACCGCAGGCTCCCAGCTGGGCTGGACCGCAGGCTCCCAGCTGGGCTGGTGGTCGGCAGACTCCTGGCTAGGCTGGAAGGCAAGCTCCCCACTGGGCTGGAAGGCAGGCTCCCGGGTAGGCTGGACTGCAGGCTCCCAGTTGGGCTGGACCGCAGACTCCCGGGTAGGCTGGAACGCAGGCTCCCAGTTGGGCTGGACCGCAGGCTCCCAGCTGAGCTGGTGGTCGACAGGCTCCTGGCTAGGCTCCCGGGTAGGCTGGACCGCAGACTCCCCGCTGGGCTGGTCGATAGGCTCTCTTGGGCTTCCGCTCCTTGATTGCCCTGGTTGGTTGGGCTGACTCGAGCTCTGGGTTGCTGGGCTTGAGCCCGCTGGTCCAAGTTCGGGGCCTGGTCCGATTAGACTCTGGGCCTAGTCCCATAACCCCATCAGTATTAATTTTAAAATGGAAATGAGAACCTTTTAATGAGACGTCCAAGAAAAAAAGTGAGAAAACTTGGCCCAATATTATCATGAACTATCTACCATTCTACCTAATTCGTCAAAATCATACTCCGTAGTCCGTACTGAATAACCATAAAAGTTGTTAGTTTATCTTTCAACAAAATGAACTGGTTACGGATAAATACAGTGTAAATAATCTTGTAGTCTGTGTAAGGCTTGCACTGACTAACATTAGCATAACCATTTAACCAAAAGGAATAAATAACAATTAAAAGGAAAAGAATAATATGGTATAGCAGAAAAAATTATATATAACCATATGTACAAATATATATCATCACATGATTCATTGACCAGATGAATCCCATTCAAATGCAGGCTGTGAGAACACCTCATAATCAACGGGTCCATCAAGAATGTTATCAACAGTCTGTACGCGTTGTAACAAACCAGGCTCGAACCCATCGTTATCACAAGGCAACAGTTTGTATGCAACCAGCAAGACAAGTGTGAATATTGCTTGAAGCTTTGTAGAGTCTCCATTCACTGAAAAGAACATCAGCATAGATACAAGGAACAAAACAACACAGAATCTCATGATACACAATACCCTGTCCATTAAGCTCCCGTCGTTACCAGCAGGGAAACCTCGGACCCTGTAGACAAATAGAAAGTTATACTTGTCGACAACATATCTGTACCCAAAGTAAACAGCACCAACCGGGACCACAAGGGGGGCAAACGCGGAGTATATCAGGGTTAGTGCAAATATTGTCAGATTGAAAGCATAATATTGTGCAAAATCAAATGTTTGTTTTGGGGCAGGGGATGTTCTGCTGACTGGTGGGAATTCAGACATGCTTTCCGCTGAGAAATCAATATCATTGATATGTGGAGCCCCATTCTCAACCTCACCAACCACCACATGTGACGTCCTTTCAGATATCAAGGGGGCTTGCAGAGTATCTGCGGTGCCTTGACTTTCTAAGGGGTAACCACCTTCACTCCTTTCTGGAACTAGCTGAATCATGTCATTCTTCCGAAACTTCTGAAACTGTTTCTTTATCCATGGTATCGGGGCAAGCAAATCAAAAGATATGCCCAAAAAAGAGCTTGTGATTAAAAAGGCAAGAGAAGAGAGGCATGTCTTTGTCAAAAACGAAGAACTCATATACTGCTCGATCCTTTTGCAATCTTGACCATCCAAATAACACTGGCCCATCTTTAGTAATGCACTTTCGAGTGAGGACTCTACTAGTGCTCTGAGGAGAATGAGATTTACAAGAAAGAAGCAAACCATTTTTAATAATGAGGCTCTTTGTTCGCCAGACACAGTAAGATGTCGTTCAAATTTGGAAAGATAAGACAGAAGGGATGGGATGATGATGTACATGCTGACAAAGATAAGAACGTTTGGAAGGAACTGAAAGATTATGGCAGCAAACCAGCTTGAACTTTGCACCCACACAAGCCACATCTGAGCATTGTCCATTGCCTCTGCATTGATTATCCTCCATGCGGTCTCAAGGGCACTGATGATTGCAAGCGGGGAACTGCAAAACAAAAGCATCAACACCAGGCATGTGTTTACAAACACCCTACGCAATTTCAAGGAGAACTTCGTAGAACCAAGATGATTCCAATATATGTCAGTTGCCAGAGGGGCTCTTTCGACTTTCCAGTGGTTTCTCTGTAGTTCAAGCTCTGTGATAGAAAAGAACCTCCCATACCGCCTTCTCTTTTCATTTCGAAGATCTTGAACAGCTTTATTGGCTGTATACACATCCTTGAAGACCACAAATGCCACCCCGGCACTCCTTGCCCGTCCGTCTTTATAGGCCGCCATTTCCATTTCCAGATCAGCTCTCAATTCCTGTAGCTTTCTCAACCTCTCCTCGAATGAGAAACCTAGATGATTAATAACATGATACCATACCTCTTTTCCTCTTCTCCATATGCCCTGCAGTCTCTGCAGTAAACCACTTTCACCCCTTCCGGCTTCATCCTCCTCCTCAACCTCACCCAACATGCCCCTGGATTCAATCCGTGAAACCAGTTTAGAAATTTCATCCCGAACTCTCACCAATTCTGTAGCTAAATCATCCAATGCACACAAATCCATAGGTACAATCACAGTGTACACTTTTCCAGGGTACTTGAGCTGGAAATAATCTACCAATGGTGTCTTATCAAAACCTAATGTTTTTGGTATGCCTTGTACCATTATAGTAAATATTGCACTGGAGTTTGTACTTGGTTGACTAGGATTACCATTGACGTCTCTGAGCCTAGTTACTTTCAACCGTTCTTGAATTTTATTTATACCATAATGCACCAGGAGAACTACGATTACTACAAATATGAAGTGAATCCAGAGCAAAGGCGAACCTTTTTCAATGTGGTTTATGGTAGTTTTTGAGAACTGATCAGCAATTGGAGCCTTCCCAGCATATATGTTCAGCGGAAGCATGACAGTGACGGCAAGAATCGCAAGGAAGATGAGAATGCCGGAGCTCCCTCCTTCAATGAAGAGAAATTGGGCGGCGTCCGCACCGCAGTGGCGGGCGATCTCACCACCGGTAGCGTGCCATGCAGCAAGGAGCTTGGAGACGATTGCGGCCGGTCCCGGCATGCGTCTGTGGTCGCTGCGAAGCTTGATTAGGACGAAGATGAGGAGGCAGGTGAGGGCTCCGATGGCGGAGATGTTAAGCAGATACTGTATGTTGCCATACCATGCCGCGTCGAAGTCAAATTCACCATCGCCTCCGGACGGCGGTAGAGGTAGACCGGAATCCATCGCCCGCGACGACTTAGGTGGGTATACGGAAGCTTGGGACATGAATGTAGAGAATCCCATGTATCTAAGCATCACGTATTCACAATTAGGGCTTAGGTCTTGAGAATTGAAAATTTTGTTGAAAAAAAAAAATCCTATTTGAAGATTCCGGATCCACATGGGGTTTTGGAAAACGGGTCACTTGGCATTGAGACTTGAGAGACAAAGAACATGTTTCGGTTTCTCTATTTTTCAGGCTTTGGGTCATTTTGGGGTATCAGGATGTTTTTAGTTAGACTGAAATTTGTTGGTCTAGTCTGATCTGAACTGTTCTGATTTGATTCGATAAACATCTGATCTATGTGTATTTTATAACTATTCAAGTCTAATTTGATCTGATCTGGTATGAAATGGTTTGATTTGGTCTGATCTGATCTGAGACTAAAAATAGCCAGTAAAAATATCCTTAGAATAAATCCTTCCCCATCTTATATTTATGTACACATTTTTTTTGACAGAGTTTTCAAGTATGTACAGTTTGTACACATTTTAGTTTATGAGTTTAGGTGAAATAATATTTTGTATCGATGTTCCTCTAGTATCTATATCACAAAGAGTAAAAAGAGGATAAAGTCAAATGAAGAGGTAAATGACCCGGGGTAAATTGGAGAATATGAATATCTTTTGTTATAAGAATATTACATATAGTGGAAGTATGAAATCTCAATTAAACAAAGACAATGCAAAGAAAATTGAATAATATAGTCTCTATAGAGTTATAGAACATGTTTTTAGGGTGTGTTTCGGAAAATAAAGATAATTAATTAAAATAAAATGACTAGAGAAAAACAAGAAAGGAGATGAAGCAGAATTAGTCAAAGCTCGTGCTACGCACGATTTCCTTAAAACGTATTTGTTGCCTCCCACGGTGCTAGGAGCGTTGCAACAATCGTTTCCCAGGATACGATGACTACGAACTAATGTTTGAGCACACAAACAAGAGTTCCAGCGAACGAGAACCAAGTATGAACACAGAGGAAATTTGGGAGTAGCTGTAGGTGTTTTTTGGCTCAAGAATACGTGAGGAATGTATTGTGCGTTGTGTTTGTGTTGCAAAGCACCTGCCAACTATTTATAGGAGGATTTGTTGTGTGTTAAATGGGGTGTTAATGGACCTGAACGTTGGACATCAATGACCAGTCCGTTGGGCATTGAATCGTCCATAAACTGTCCATTTAACGCAGCATTAAAAGAGAAGAACGTTGGACATTAATTGTTGTAACGGAAGAAATGCGTGACAGAAGACCCCAACAGAACACCCCTTGGAGGGTTTCTGTCCGAAGCCAGCAGAACACCCCTCGGAGGGTTTCTGTCCGAAGCCAACAGAACACCTCTCGGAGGGTTTCTGTCCAAAGCCAGCAGAACACCCCTTGGAGGGTTTCTGTCCGAAGCCAACAGAACTCCCCTTGGAGGGTTTCTGCTCGAGGCCTTCTGTCCGGAGCACTTCTGGGGGGAAATAAACGTTTCGGGAAGAAAACAAAAATTAACCGTATCTCTTGAGAGATAGATTTTTGGACGGCATTCGTGTCCGCAGGTCGCCTGGCAGCCCTCAACCGCTTCCTATCTAAATCGGCGGAAAAATCTCTACCCTTCTTCCAGATCATGAGGAAGACGGCTGGCTTTCTATGGACTCCAGAATGCCAGGGGGCTTTCGACGAGCTCAAAAGATATCTATCTTCACCTCCTGTGCTCTCCAAACCCAAGGTAGGGGAGACCCTCTACCTCTACCTTGGGGTTAGCCCGGCGGCCATCAGCTCCGTGCTCATCCGGGAGGAAGACGACATCCAACATGCCATCTTCTATGTTAGCAAGACCCTGAGGGAGGCCGAACTCAGGTACTCCCCTGTGGAAAAAACGGTGTTAGCCATCGTTTGGACTGTCAAGAAGTTGGGCCACTACTTTCAGGCTCACCCGGTTCAGGTCCTCACCCATCAACCCCTCGGCACCCTCATGAGGAGCCCCACCAGCTCCTCCCGCATGGTGAAATGGGCTATCTTCTTGAGCCAGTACAACATTGACATCCGTCCAAGGCCTGCCATCAAGGGCCAAGCCCTAGCGGACTTTGTGACGGAATGTACCGCAAGAGCAGCCACGGACGGGGAGCCCTCGGCTACCTCGGACGACTGGTGGACCCTCTACACTGACGGCTCATCCGCGACCAAAGCATGCGGGGGAGGGGTAGTCCTCATTACTCCCGAGGGATTCAGGGCCTACTATGCAATCCGCTTCTCCTTCAAAGTCTCCAACAATGAGGCCGAATATGAAGCCCTCCTATGTGGCCTTCGGCTGGCTGCCAACATGAGGGCTCGGCAGATCCACATCAAATGCGACTCCAAGTTGGTCGTTGGCCAAATCTCCGAAGAATATGAGGCCAAGGAAGGAAGAATGAAACAGTACAAGGAAGCGGCCAAGGAGTTGCTTAAGGTATTTGAGGCACACTCTCTCACTCAAATACCGAGGGCTCAGAACTCCGAGGCCGACATATTATCTAAACTCTCGGCAGACTCCCCCGAGCACATCTCCAAGATTGCCAAAATCGAGGAACTCAGCCTCTCAAGCATCCATGCAAGCCCCGTGATGAACATACAACAACGTCAGGAGGATTGGATTTCAGATATCACCGCCTTCATCTCCACAGGGCAGCTACCCGAGAATGAGGCCCGCGCTAAACTTGCAAAGCTGAGGGCTCCCAGCTACACCATCGAAGATGGAAGGCTCTACAAACGATCTTACAATGGCACGCTACTTCGGTGCCTTCATCCAGATGAAGCCGAGGTCGCAATGGAGGAAGTGCACAGTGGCACTTGCTCAGCTCACCAGGGACCCTTCTCCATGTCCCGAAGGCTCATTCTCCAGGGCTACTTCTGGCCAACCATGGCCAGGGATTGTGCTGACCTTGCCCGGAGGTGCACCGCATGTCAACATTTCCAGAAAGCCCCCGGCAGGCCAGCGGTCAACTATGCCCCCATCAGCACATCTGTCCCATTTTCTCGATGGGGGATAGACCTTGTGGGCCCTCTGCCGAGGGGTACCTCCAACAACAGATACATCATTGTGGCCGTCGACTATTTTACCAAGTGGGTGGAGGCTGAACCCCTCGCCAGCATCACAGAGGTGAAGTGCCGTCACTTCGTCCTCAAGAACATCCTCACAAGGTTTGGCGTCCCCCAGCAGATCATCTCCGACAATGGAACACAATTTGAGGCAGCCCCCTTCTGTGCCCTTCTGGAGGCATGGGGCATCAAACACACCTTCTCCTCCGTTGCCTACCCTCAAGGCAACGGGCAGGCAGAGAACGCCAACCGGACCTTGCTCGAGGGCCTCAAAAAGAAGCTGGAGGCCGAGGGTGGTGGCTGGGTGGAAGAACTTCACAACATCCTCTGGGCCTACCGCACTACCCCTCGGCGCGCTACAGGTGAAACACCCTTCTCCCTCTGCTACGGTTTTGAAGCCAAAGCTCCTACGGAAGTCACCCTTCCTACCCGAAGGGTGATCCAATATGACCCCGAGGTCAACGACAGCAACATGGCCCTCGACCTGCACCTCATTTCAGAACGCCGGGAGCAGGCCTTCATCCGGGCAGAAAACTACCAAAGGCAAGTCAAAAGCTACATCGACGCCAAAGTTCGAACCCGGGAATTTCAAGTGGGGGACTATGTGCTCCGGAGGAGGGAAGCCAGCCAACCAACCGAGGGAGGAAAAATGGCACCAAAATTCGAAGGCCCCTACATCATAGCAGCCATCATCAAACCCGGGACTTACAAACTCAAACGCCCCAACGGGAAAGAGGTCCCTAGACACTGGAATGTACACCATTTAGTTAAATTTTATCAATAATGTAAGAGCGGCCAAGCCCTCATAACTAGTGAATGTACTATCCAATGGCCCAAGGCCTCCAATTTCGAAGAATGAAGATACATTCAAGACATCAAGCCCTCATACTGACTACAGGCCCCAGGCCTCACCACAAGAACCCCCTCCGGTACCCAGTGCCGAGGGCGGACACCATCAACACCTACAACAAACAGTAGAAACACCACGTGTTTTCAGTCAAGACCCCTCGGCACCCAGTGCCGAGGGTACTTCCCCACCTTCAACATCAAAAAAGAAAAGATTAGAACACCAAGTGTTCCTACAGAAGACCCTTCGGCACCCAGTGCCGAGGGTACACCTCCCTCATCAAATATCGAAACGAAGAAAAAACACCAAGTGTTTCAAAGAAGACCCCTCGGCACCCAGTGCCAGGGATATGCTCTCCTAACAGCTTCCAAACATCTATTGGGAAACACCAAGTGTTTCATTTGAAGACCCTTCGGTACCAAGTACCGAGGGTAGACGCCTACATCAACTACAACAAGAGAACACCAAGTGTTCCTACAGAAGACCCCTCGGTACCAAGTACCAGGGGCTACACATCGAAACTAACACCAAGTGTTGTTTCTAAAAGCCGTACCCCACAAGGACGCATATACCGAAGGCGCCACCATCGGTGCCGGCGGCACGTAGTGCCCCCGGCCATTTGCAACTAGTGTGCAAATGAAAACCCTTCCTTGAAACGCTTTCCGCGTCACTACCCCCAGGGTATGACAGGCATGAGAAATGCCCAGGATTCGACTTTCAAAAACGGAACGCTATCCGCGTCATTACCCCCAGGGTATGACAGGCATGAGAAATGCCCAGGATTCGACTTCCAAACCGAAACGCTCCCCGCGCCAACACCCCAAGGGTGTGGCAGGCCACAGACTATGTCTAACGCCGAGGGGACGACTTTCAAAAATGAGGCGCTTTCCGCGCCATCCCCCAAGGGGAGGCAGGTTACGGACCACCATGTCTTGTGCCCAGGAAATGTCCCTCGATCCCCTCGGCACTCGGAAGGTTAACCCGAGGGAGGAGAGCCATTGGTGTATTCTGATAGTCTCCTAATAGGCCCAGCCTTACCAAGAAACAAAGTTTCTTGATGCCTTCCCTTCACCACCACCACCAAAAAAAAAAAAAAAAAAGGGTGAAGGGGAGTAGACTCAGCGAGAAATCAAAGAGTACACTCCAACAAAATCACAACATGCCGAGGGCTCCTCACGGGAACACCTCCGGTAATTGAAGACTTCTATTTCCCGAAGGATACTACTCAAAGAAATATCATCAGGAAACGGCTAAGTCCACTACCTGGTCACCTCCGGTCACAAAAAACCGAAGGCTTCAACAATACAAAGGGAC